CCAGGAGAGGCCTTCAGGTCTGCAGCCTGGAGCGCATTCAGTAACCCTCTGTCCATGAGTGCTGCTGGCCCAGGTTGGGAATGGTAGGTACCACTCTCCAAGGAGGGGGACTGTAGGCTGTGCCCTCCATGTCTGGAGACAAGTGGGTCTAGAGAAGTGTTTGGTTGGAAGTGTTGCAAAAACTTTACAAGAAACTGTAGAGCCTGCGCTTACATCGCATGTGACAGGGGACTTGAGATTGAATGGGCACAGTCCCTCCAGTGCTGACATGTGACATGTCCCCCCAGCACAGCGTACAGAGCTCATGGGCATTCCATCAGGAATTCAGCTCTGGCAAGCAAGGAGTAGTCCCTCCAGATGCCCAGTGCCCCATACCTAGCTGCCTTTGAGATGCCAACAGTGCTCTAGATCCCATCAAACTCTTGAGGGAATACAGAGGCCTCTTACACCAAGCCAGGGTGCTAGGCATCCAAAGCAGATTCGTGCTGCGGCTCTCCTGGTGTGGCTTTCCATGGCCAAGTGGGAGCTTTTACGAAGCAGAATTGCGATCGGGAGCCTCTGGACAGGGACACACTCGTCCCCACTCACTGAGAGGCCAAGGTATCTTCTATCTGCCTGGAACATTCCAGCATCTTCTTCTTCTTCTTCCCAGGCAGAAAGCGGGGGCCATAGGAGACTGAAGGTCACTCGGCTCCCTCTCGGTCTGGCATGCTAAGACCCGTCTGTGCCATTTTTTCTTAAATTAATTTTGGGCGGAAAAAGGCTCAAAGAAGGCTTTGTTCCTCTGACACTCTGAAAGAAAGACCCGTGGGAAGGCTGACATCTGCAGCAGGAGCGAGTGGATGGGAGGAGCTCGAACGCCCTCCGCTCCCCAAGAATGCCTCAGGTTTCTAAGTGTCTCATCTCAGCTTCGCGTTTGATTGACATTTTAATTATTTTGTTTTTTTCTTCTTTTCCTGGTGTGAGTCTCCAAAGAGTCCCTCTTGCTCAGGTTCTGCGGGATACAGAGCATGGTGCAGCTCGTGGATGCTGAGGTTAGCCCTCACCGGGGTTAGTTGTGGCACCAACTCCCCTGCGCACTAGGTGTGCTTTGTCGGCTGCCAGGGCCTCCACTTGACGGACACACAGAGCAGCGTCATGCCGAGCTGGGAGTGTCCAGGCACCAGACAGACAGACCTACCTAGCAACACCACGCTCACGTGACCATGGCTGGACAGTACAGGACTTCCACTGGACTCCAGCCCCAGAGCTTACAGTCTGAGTGTTTTCGTTTCCCAAGAGGTAGCTTGGTTGTCAGAGTAACTCATCCAGGGAGTCTTTAAATAGAGTGCTCCCAGGAGGCGGTGCAGTTCAGCTCCCCGCAGTGCACACGGCTCCCCTGTGGCATCAGGATTGCTGGGAGCCCTGTGGGGCCTGTGACACCCTGGAGACATTGCTTCTGAACAGAGTGCTCCCTTTAAAGCCAGACTTCACCAGCAGGCACCCATTAGTAGTGTCACATGTGACGCTGGTGTGAGTACTCAACGTGTTCCCGTAGGTTCTGAGCTGAGCTCACCCTGTCTCCTGGTGTTGGTGGCTACATTCAAACACTGTTCTTGGAGGAGGTTGGGGGGGGGTCTCAGGCCAGCATCTCTATGTGGCCGCAGCCCCTTTTGGCGTTTATATCAGATCTGTCGCTCACTGTGTCCTGGACTCCCTCTGTGAGTGTGTCTAGGACTAGACATGTCTCTCTTCCCGCACAACCTCACACTGCCCAGATTACCTTGCTTGGGTAGCTGCAGAGGCCACTGCTGACCCCACAGCAGCCAGAGGACTGAACAGACAACTTATGTGCCACCAGTCCCTGCTGAGACTCTCAGCTGTCCCACATCCTCCCCATGTAAGAGGGGAGAAGGTGGTCTTCTCGGCATGTCTGGGAAGGTGCTGGTTAGTGTGACTTCAGTATGCTAGCTTTTGTTAGTCCCACTCTTAGGAGGCCCAGACTAACCCATTCAGCTAGTGGACAGCAGCCCCAGCCTTGCTGAGATGTCTGGTGGCCCAATCTTGTGGCCTCCCCGTGGACCATGGGCTTTCTGAGCAGCCTACTATGGCATACTAAGTGCTACCTGCTGTCTCTAGTGAACCTCACAGTCTCCACCCATGTCCTGGTCTAGGCTGAGGGACCTCTCATTTTCCTCTCTGCCCCTAGCAAGCCTCCCACCCACCATCCCAGCATCCTCAGGCCACTCCCCCATTCCTTTCATGGCAGCCCCTGGCCTATCCAGGAATACCACTCTTAGGGTTTCGGTTGCTGGGATTAAACACTATGACCAAAAGCAACCTGGGGAGGGAAGGGTTTATTTCATCTTACACTTGGAGATAAGAGTCCATCACTGGGGGACATCAGAAGGAACTCAAGCTAGGTGGGAACCTGGTGGTAGAAATCAATGCAAAAGCTACAGAGGAGCGCTGCTTACTGACTGGCTCTTCCTGGCTTGCTCAGCCTGCTTTCTTGGCGCACCCAGGACCACCAGCCCAGGAATGGCACTGCCCACAGTGATGTCTTTAGCCAAGAAAGTGCACTGTGGGCCAATCTGGTGAAGGGATTTTCTCCATTGAGGTTGCCTCTTTCAAAATGATGGTAGCTTGTGTCAAGCTGATGTAAAACTAACCAGAACACCCTCTCCCAAGGCTGTTTCTCTCACCCCGTCATCCACTTGCAAGCCTAGTGAGATGATGTGAGTAGGGGGCTCACATCTTCCGGTCTCAGTGAGGGCGCTGTTGTGAATGTTATGAGTCCCCTGCTCAGAGTCCCCAGAAAATCCTTCACCATCTCTGCACCCTGTGAGGTTAACACGGGGTGAGGTTAACACAGGGTGTAGGCTAGTTGTCTACAGCTCGGAAGTGGACCCTTGATAGACCCAGTCATCCTCCTTCGCTTTGAATTTTCAATCCCCAGACTGAGAAATAAAATTTTGTTTTTTAATACATCACTTATCTGCCACTTTGTCATAACAGCTTTAATACCCTTTTTGGCCTTTGCTCTCTGCATCTCTGTTGGACCTGCCTCTTCTCCCTCCTGCACTAGGATGTGGCTTCTTCTGTGCCCACCTAGACTTCAATGGCACTCAGTCCAGGTCTGTGAGCTTGTGGTAGATTGATGGTAGATGGGCCGGTGAGTAGATGTTGGACTGGTGATTGATGGGTGGGTGATTGGGTGAGTGGATGGATGGATGGATGGATGGATGACAATGAGCAGGTGGATGATAGGTGATCAGATGATGGATAAGGGAATGGGTGGTGTGTGGGTAGTGGATGAGTTAGATGGATGGTGGACAAATGGTTGTTGGATGGATGATATATAACTGTATGATGGGTAGATGGATGGGTAGTGATGGATGGAACCAACGGAACTTTCCAGGACAGTTGTAGTTACAGGAATTGCCATCTCAGGACGCTGGGTTGTTTTCTCTGAGGCATTTCCTCACCTTCTCCCCCAGCTAGTGTGGAAATGACAGAAACTGGAGTTGAATTTCTGTATCTCAAGCTAAGATTTTAGTTCTTTCATTCATAGTTGCTCCTGATTTACAAACAAGGCACCTAGCCCTGGCTTTCTTTAAGAGAAAGAAGGTGGACAGGCCCAGGTGGTACACGTAGGCAGACTATAGAGATGGCTGAGGCAGAGCCGTGAGGACCAACTGCCGGGTGCTACTCCCACTCTCAGCTGCTCTTCCCAAGGGCTCATCTGACTTACAGAAGACCCCCTGGAAACTTTTCCCTCCGGTGCTCAGTATCCTCAGTACTGGGCATGTTCTGCTCATGGGGAGACTGCCAGCCTGAACCTGGGCTTCCCATGACATCTCTCATGGATGTGGCTGCACATTTCCATCCCCCACTGAAACTTTTAAACCTTTGTAGTGCTGACAGGTCTTCCCTTGATGATGTCCTGGGTATCTGTAGTGTGAGATCTGAGCCTTTGGACTCATTCAGTTCTTTCATTAAAGGCACAACTGTATTATTGTAATAGCGTTGTATTGTCTGTGTGTGGTGTATGTACAGGTGTGTGCTGAGGTGCATGCTAAGGGAAAAGAGGGTACGCAAACGTGCTGGTTAGTATGGGGTATCTTCTGTCACACTACACCTTTTTTTTCTGAGCTACATTTCTTACTCATCTCACCAATCAGCTTAGCTAGCTGCAGAGCCTTCCAGGATCTCAGAGCTGGCATCACAGATGGACACCACTGCATCCAGACCCGGGGTGTGGATGTTGAGGATCCAACTTCAGAGCCTAATACTGTGCTGTAGTCACTTCACTGCCTGAGCCATCTCCTCAGCCCATTTGTTCTTCTCTCTCTCTCTCTCTGTTGGTACATGTGTGTGTGTGAGGTTGCACACGCATCCTGCATGTGGAGCCCATAGGACAACCTTGAGTGGCATGCTCAGGAATGCCATCTGCCTCCTTTGAGACAGGATCCCTCCTTGGCTTGACGTTCACTGAGTAGGCTAGACTGGCTGGCCAGCGTCTGTCTGTCTCCCCCTCCCCAACATCACCATTGGCCAGCTTTTTATGTGCATTCTGAGCATTGAGCTTGGATCTCTGTGCTTGTCCAACAAGCACTTTACTAAGTGAGCTATCTTCCTAACTCCCTAAGAATGGTTTTAAAGAAATTACAGAATAGTCCCTGGTGCAGTTTAGTGATTACTCAAAATAGGCGAGGCCCTGGGCTCCATCCCCAAAATGACATGGGCACTGACTGTATAGAGGATGCCATTCCTGCTGAGAGCGTGCTGGCTTTTAGTCCTCAGAAGGAGTCTGCGGGTGCTTATCATAAAGCTGTTTGGACTTTACCTCTTGGAGTACTTCCCACAGAAATAGACCCCTCCCATGTTCTTTAAAGCACAGCGACCTTGCCTTTGGGGGTGGGTCACTTCTCATCCCCAGAAGTAAATCCTGTTTGGGGTCTTTGTATCTCAACCTCTAGCACATGAGTGATGCTGTCCTCTGTCTTGCCTCTCTGCAGGGCCTAATCAAGATCCGTGGGGACAAGTGCTGGCTGGACCTGACCTGCATGGACTTCCACTATGAGGTGAGCACAGATCTGGCTGTGGCTGAAGCTGTGCACTGCTCTCAGAAGTGAGCATCCTTGCTGTGTCCGGGGCAGGGTTGGGTCACCAGGTGGCCTATAGAGTGTCTCCTGCTGCTGGGCTGGTTCCTCTGGTTATCTGGTTCCCTTTTTCTGCCCAGGCCTCCCTCTAGGACAGGCTAAGTCCCATCCTGGGAGCTGCAGCTCTGGCTGCATCTCCTGCAGGTGGAGGGTGAGGCTGCTCCACACCTTCCGCTGTGCTTGGACTCCCAAAGACAGCGATCCCAGGCACCGGGACAACATGGACCCTTGGCCAGGTCTCTGGCCCTCAAAACAGCCTGCCCTTACAGATGGCCATGTGCTTGTGTCAGAGATGAGGTCAGGAACAGCTTCAAACTGCAAATTAATCCAAGGGCACATGGCACTGTGGTGATGTCCATCTGCCCGTCACCCTAGCCAGGAGAACTGGAACTCCTGTGTGTGTCTCATTCCTTTCTTCTCCCTGCCCAGCCCACACTGCCCACTGCTGGAGACTCGCAGTTAGTTACTGCCTTCTCCCCACTGAGATCTGTGGGTACCGGTCTCTACCTTTGTTGTATTTTAGTACTGAGTCTAGACACTCAAGTCCTCTAACCGCTGAAGACACTAACGCCTGCAGCCGCTCCTCTGTGTGCTCATCCCTGTCCATCAGCGGGAGGGATGCACTGTTTGCTGTGGCTAACCAGGGTGTCTAGACTTCACTTTTTAAGGTCTTGGGAGTCCCCATGCCATCATCCCCCATCTATTCCAGAAATCCTGTCTCTGCTTCACTAGGGATCCCGCAATCTTCTCTTTCCTATGGTGGGGTTTCCAGCTTCTGTAAGTGCCAGAGAGAAGGCATGTTCGGCCTCGCACTCTCAGGAGAGCGTCCATTAGAATGAGTGGCTGACCGTATGCAACGAGCTATTTACACATACAGGCCATGGCACAGAGGATAGGGCTCAGAGCCTGTCGGTGAAGCTGGGCTGCCCTTGTCCCTCAGGGAGCAGCATCTCACTGAGATGGTCCCACGCCCACACAGCATGGTGGGTGTCAGCGCTGTGAACACAGGTCACCTGCAGGCTAGCATTGGCAAGCCCAGGAACCGTCTGGATGCAGAGTTCATGGGGAACCCATGCATCAGTGTCTCCTTGACGCAAAGCCATCTGAGGTCTGCTCTGCAGGAACGCACACTGGAGCCTGTGTTTTCATCCATACATCCTGCACCATGCATCTCATAATAAACCTGGGCCCCCTCAAGAGCTGAAGCAGCTCAGGTTCTCTGTCCCCTTCCTCAGGGCCTAGCCAAGCACACATGAGGCATGGACCACGTCCATAGAAGCCCCATGGCCATTGCTGCACTCTGATTGGTGAAGGCTCCTGAGCCTATTGGCTGCTTTGGACTATGATAGGCCAAGTGAGGGAAGGCATGCCCTTCATCTTATGGGTCAGGTTGACAGGCTGGTATTCTCTCCAAGTGTGGCCAGTGGACGGGGTATGCCACTAGCCAGCCTAGAGACGCTGGAAATTGCCCCAAATCCAATTCTCCTTGCTTAAGGCTTGGCCTAAGCATGGCAAAGTGTGCTTGAGGAGAGGCAGAGGGCACCTGTCAAGTCCCCAGCATCAAGGAGGGGGCAGCTGGCACCTACGCCAGAGCTGAGGATGACTGGTCTTGGAACGGAGCCAGACCCAACTGCCCTGGGCTGTGATATGAGAGGGTAATGGGGAGAAGACCCTCCCGACAGGATGGGGTATCTCTCCCCAGTGGGCTACCACACAGTAAGTACCTTGTCTCTAAGCTGTGTTTCCTCAGGCTCCATAGTTGGCATCCAGCTGAACCAGAGACAAACTGTATGGTTAGACCTTACATTATTTGTGCTGACTGTCCATGTGGGTGTCTGTACTTGTGTCTTGGTACTATAGTTCACAGGTAGCCATGTAGACTGGGGAAGGGAGGCCTAGTTGGAGTCAGGGCAGATCTTCCATCTCAGCCTTGCAGGGACATGGGCAGGCAGAGAGGGTGCAACTGTGCCTATGGGCAGATCGATGCCAGTGCCAGGCCAGGCCATGTGGAATCAACGCTTATGGATGGGTTAAACTGTAGCACTTGAGCTCTGAGCTACCATAGTCCCAACCTAACTTTATCCAGAGACACAGCCCCTCATCAGACAGCTGTCATTACAAGCAGCAAGCCCCAGGGGATCCATACCCTCTGTCCAATTTGACTATAAACTGGGGTTCCCACAGTATGTTCAATCAAATGGCATGCAGATCAGCTCACAGAATTGGGGACACTTTGTTGGGATTCTGTTTATTGTGAAGTGTACATTTGGGAAAGGCCAAAGAGAAGTTACGTGGTCTCTCCCGCTTAGTCATTAGTCTTGAAGCTTGAGCGTCCTGCCTTGAGCATCCAGGCCTCTTCACGGTATGGGCATGGCTAAAGAACTCACTGCTGGCACTGGTGACCATGGCCAACTCCAGCACTGACCCTAGGGTCTGCAGTGGCCCTGGGTCTGGTGAGCAGACCAACCTCACCCGGGAGTGGCATAAGTGGTGGCATCACGGATTTATGTGGACAGCAGATGTCCTACCACCACTGCCACCCATTGTAGGGGTTTCAGGAGCTGTGGGCCCAGAATCTGGACAAAGACCAAGTAAAGAAACTCCTTGACCATGACAAGGCTGTGTCCTATTGGAAGCATAGGGTTACAACCAGCCTTCTACGTAGCACAGCACGTTGAAGAGTGCCGGTGGTCCATAGGTGTCATAGCTGACCATGTGCTGTAGTTCAGCTTCACAGCATTAGGGAGGATCCTGTCATTCATGACCAGCCCAGGAAACTGCCAGGAGTGGTCACTCACACACCACTGGAGGATTAAAAGGACGCTAAGCTGGTGATCTTAATGTTCTTTCCGTATCATGATGTCCTAGCTCTAAGCCCAGCCCACCAGCAGCCACACCACCCATGAAATTCTCCACATGGTCTTCTGCTTGATATTGGACACCCCATCCCTGGGCGGTACAGGACATGCCGTGTGGCTTCACGGATCGTGTGTTCTGTAGCCTGGAAAATGCTGGTTGGTCCCTGTGGCCTGCTGCTTACTGCAGTGCAGTCCTCAACTGCGGCTCACACAAGGTGGCTGATGTGAGCACTGGTCACTGTTGTGCAGACCCTGGAGCTCAGCTCCATGCTGACAAACAGCCTCTCTGAGCATGTCCTCTGCTGGAGCAGCATCTGGAAACCCTGCCAGAGATGCTCAGGGCCCAGCGCACAGCATGACAGTCACAGACCACTGTGTACAGAAGATGCCGTGAGATGCCATGGCCTGCAGCACTTACTGGTGGGGCTATAAATACAGATCACCCATAGTGACTGTGTCCCACACTCAGGTGTCTGAACGGGGAAGCAGCCACATTTGTGCATTCGCCTCTGACCAAATGTTTCTACAGCAGAACGGTTCCATTTCTCACATTCACACCCAGTGTTGAGCACACCACTTGTAGAAAAGCTTCACCCTGCAGCCTCCCAGCTAAAGCTTAGCAAGGAGGGCTGCCTTTTGGTCCCCCGAGCTGTTGGAAGGTGTCCTGGCCTGACCACAGTCACCCACAGCAGACTGTATTGCCTCTCTCCCTTTTTCTCTTCTCTCCCCCTTCTCATTCTCCCTCTTCCCTTGATCTGTCTCTCCCTCTCACTGCCTGTCTCTGCCCACCCCTCCTCATTTTCTCTCTCTCCCCTTCCTTCCCCTGCCTTGCTCAGGGCAACATGAATGAGGTAATAGAAGTTTGCACTGTGGCTTTGCTGAGCTGACCTTTAATCCAGGGAAATAAATCACTTTCAGCTCCTATTATTGGTGAAGCCCCGCAGCCTCGGCATACACAAAGGAAGCCTTTGTGCCGTGTTACTTGGTTTTAAGTTAGAGTGTCAAGCCCATGGTAGGAGAAGCTGATGTCACCTCCACCATGGTCTGCACAACATGGGTGCCATGATTATGCCTGGGAACTGGCAGGCCGGGCAAAGTCCATGGTGTGTCAGTGCACATCCCTGCATGTCTACTTCTGTGTTCTGTAACATGCATGTACCTGATGCAAGTGATGACCTGGGCCCTGCAGCTTTCTCCGTGCTCCTCCATTTCTCTAACTAGGGATGGAGTCTGTGCCCACAGGCAGCTTTGTTTAGCATTGCTATAGTTCCTCCTCTCTCTCTTGAGAGTAGGAGGCTTCATTTCCTGTGTAAGTTTCCTATCTCTAAATATGGGAACGATGGCCCCAGGTTGCAGCGAAGATGGCACTAATCCTTCGGGTGCCAAGTACTTAGGTATGGGCGTGTGTCTCAGATGCTTCCCTGTATTGAGAGCTGGGGCATCCCAGCCTGAAGGTGCCATCTGCCAGTCCCTCAGCAGAGTTGAGAGGGATGCATCATGGAAAGGAGAGAGCTCTCACACAGAACACTTTTGCTGTTTTTATACGTGCTCCCACAGCCCAGGAAGCCTACTGGGCAGTTGTAACTGAGGAACAGGAGGGCTCCTGTCAGATAAAGCTGGCCCGTGTGATCTAGGAACACATGGCTGGGCTGAGGCTGTTTCTTCCCCTGTGGTATGATCTGTTTCCTCTTAACCTGAGCAGTGGTTGGAGGGCTGTGTGTGTCTCCACACTCGCCACTACCTCCCTGCAGGGCCCACTGTCTTCTTATCATCTCTCCTGGTCATTCAGTGCAAGATTGATGCTCACAAGGACTTTGGGAAGTCAGCTGCCAATATGATTCTCGGGACCCTGGCCCCATAGAATGGCCTGTGACTGGCAAAGCCCTGGGGCACACGAAGGCCCAAGTCGTATCTTTGATTCTTTTAAGCAGACTGCTGCTTCCAAGAGCTCAGGAAGCAACAGCATGAGGTGCTTACACCACAGAGCATTTCCAAAGCCTGAGTTATAGAAGTTCCGGCCCAGTGGATAAAGGTGCTTGCAAGTAAGTCTGACAACTTGAGTTC